GATCCACATGCAGACTGCCGGTGACAGCATGCACCTTGAGAGGTTCAACCCGAGGTGTGTTGCTCAATGCTCTGCGCGTTTGCTTGTGATCGTGATTTCAAGGTCCCAATCCTCGCGGCTGAGGATTGACACCGTTCGCTCGCGTGAGATTTTTGAGCGGCAGATGAACCAGCGCTGGAGCCCATCACGGCACATGCTGGAGGAAGGAGGGCAAGGGTTTTGCAGATTCTCCGACTCACGCCCGCTGCTGCTGACCGTGCGTGGCTACTGTTGAGAGGGTTTCTCATGTGGCGTCGGGCGTGCGAGTGAGCGGTCTCGCGCGCATGCATCTATATCTTGAGTGTCCTGTCTCTCTCGTTAGTGGCACCACACACTGTCCTGCGGGGGTGCTCATGACAGCAGCAATGACAGCAGCAATGACAGCAGCAATGACAGCAGCAATGACAGCAGCAATGACAGCAGCAATGACAGCAGCAATGACAGCAGCAATGACAGCAGCAATGACAGCACAGCAGCAGCAACGACAGCGATGACAGCAGCAATGACAGCAGGAATGACAGCTGCGCAATTACAGCAGCAGTGACAGTTGGACCAGTCGGGGATGGTTACGACAGCAGCAACGACAGCAGCAACGACAGCAGCAACGACAGCTGGTGACAGCTGGTGACAGCTGGTGACAGCTGGTGACAGCTGGTGACAGGTAGGTGTCACTGTCGCTGTCGTTTGCTGTATGACAGCTGGCAGCTGTCATGACAGCGGCTAACCGTCGTGACAGCCTAACCGTCATGACGTGAACTTTCCATAGTCTCTCAACATAAAGAATTTCAAATAAATTGCGGGGCCGCTGTTCATCCTTTGGGGTCCCTGCCGACGGCAAGACCGAAGAGGAAGGCCGCTACACTCATGAAAAAAGAATTTTACCAACAAGAAAATCAAGTCCCGCCGCGCTGCACCCCCCTGGAGCCGAGTTGAGGTTGTTGTGTCGATCATGTGTATATGGACCCCTCTCCGTACGCCGCTTTCGATGCCGACGCCAAGCCGTCCGCCCGTCCGTGGAAGATCGCGACTGCCATGTGCGGTGCCATCGCGCTTGGTCTCTCGGGCGCTGTCCTCGGTCTCGCGAACGAGCGCAAGCTGATGCAGCGCATGGGAGCGTCCACCGTGGTCGGCTCGTACATGGCAGACGCGCTAAGTTCGATGTACGACTTTGAGTTTGAGGCGACGACGCTCGGCGGCGAGCGTGTGGCGCTCAAGGCCTTCAAGGGCAAGCCGCTGCTGGTGATGAACGTCGCGACGCTCTGAGGCACAACCGTGCGAGACTTCACTGCGATGAATGCGCTCGCGAGCAAGTTTGGCGATGGCTTCTCGATTCTCGCCTTCCCCTGCAACCAGTTTGGCCACCAGACGCAGGAGGACAACTCGGAGATCCTCAGCATGCTCAAGCACGTCCGCCCGGGCGGCGGTTTCACGCCTGCGGCGCAGGTGACAATG